AGGGTTGGGTAGCATTTGAGTTAGTGAATTCTGGAAGGCAGCTTATTTCTGTGAACCCTAAATCAGGATAATTTTTAGTGAGTTGGAGCTCCAGATGAACCTGTGGTCCAAGCCCTCACTCCTCAGTGTGGTTTGCAGGCTTGCAGCGTTGGCAACTGGACGCTTCCTCAACCAGCAGAGTCAGGCCTGCATTTTACCGAGATCCCAGGAGAGTCCTGGACACGGGCTCTCTTCCTCGGCACCTCGTCATCGCGTGATTGTCTCATTGTGTGATTATATGAGTGGAAGGATCACACGCTGTGTGGGTATTTGTTTGCCATTGGTCTTCCCCACTAGGAGGCTCTGGAAGGACAGAGACCCTCACTGCTTTTGCTCCAAGCACCCGCCCGGCACGTGGAAGGCAAGGAAGGGAGGAATGAATGAATGCATTCATCCCCAAGGCTGGGCCGTCTGTTCAGCCATCCTGTCCCCTCCACTGCAGAAAGCCTGGGAGGAAGAAGGGCTTAGATCTAAAAGTGAATGGAGATACTCGCAGCCCCGCTGTGGAGAGCTTGCTGCCTGCCCAGGCACCAGCCACAGCCCAAGACACATGGGGAAGCTCCGAGCAGACAGATCCTACTCTTTGGTGTGCCAGGTCATAGGGCTGCATTTGCTACCGGCAATTGAAACTAAGTTGTCATTGAAGACTCGTCTGTTGACCTTAACCTCATGTCCCACGTGGTTCAGTATGAGTCCATCATGGCAAGTTCAGTGGCACCAAGAAGGTTGGGAGCAGGAAGCTGTGGTCAGTGGGAAGTCCATCTCATCTGCCAGGCCCTACTAACATTAACCGGGTCCCACCAGGTCCCACTAACATTAACCAGGGTGCAGCTGCCATTGAACATGGTGCCTTTGTCACCCTAAACGTGTGTGGGGCTCACCTGACAGGTGATATCAAAGGTCATCTCTGTCCCTTGTGCTGATGGCCCATGTTGGATGGGGCGACCCACGAGAATATGGTCACTCCCTCTAGATTTCCAGCATGACATCTTCCTGTTCCCAAGCAGAGTCTGTGACAACCGTGGCACCATGGAGGACCCTGTGTCCACTGTCTATGCCCTGTCTGTCCCTCTGGCAGGCTGTGGTACGATGGCCATGGGACCGTCCAGAGAGTCATCACGCATCCAGTGGCACCACCCAGGCTGTGACAAGGTCATTCCGGAGCGGAATGGAAAGCTTGCCAGCATGGCCTCCCATGTCCCCGCTATTAGCATGTCTGTCCAGGCTGCCACCTGTCATGCATAAAAAGCTGTTGAGTACAGTGGCATCAAGAAGGTGGTAATGTGAAAACCAAAACCTGGGGGTCATTGAAAGACATTCTGGGCTACACTGAGCACCAGCTTGTCTCCTGCCATCGAAATGGTGACACCAACTTCTCCACCCGTCACGCTGGGGCTGGTATTGCCTGCAACCACCACTTTGTCGAGCCAGCCTCCTGGTTCCATGATGATGCTTGGCTGCAGGGTAGACCTCCCAGTCCAGGTGACCTCCACAACTAACAGCCCTGGGCCTCCAGCAAGAACACAAGAGGAAGAGAGATGGTCTCTGCCCCTGGGCAGTTCCTGCACCACCTCTGTGCCAAAGCACTGGGAATCTCCACCCTGACAGCCCTCTTCCAGGCTCTGAAGGAGAGAGGACGTGTAGAGAGCCTTATCAGTAGGATGACCAGTCATATCGGGGTCATCCACGAAGCCTGCAGCATCCTAACCAGAGAGAGAGGCAGTCAGGGAGGAAGCCAGAGAGAAAGGGACCATTCCATGTACAGTTTAAGACACTAATTGTCCGGTTTCTCAATGTTTACAAGTGTCCTGGGACAAAAAGGTTAAATGTGATACCAGGAGAAGACAGACACAAGCCTGTGTTTCTCAAAAATCACACTCTTTGCCAAAGGTGCATCTCTTCGCACTTACAAATGCCGGGCCCTTGCGTGCACAGCCTTCCTGGGGTTGCTGGGTGGGAGAGGGAGCGTATTCACTCGGGGCCTGCCGAGTGGAGAAGGAAGGTTGTTCAACAACTCGGAGGACAGGAGGCTGGAAGAGGGAACAGGGTGGGCAGACATGCAAATCACGCCACGCAGAGTGGAAGGAAGATGCCTACCTCCAATTTATGGAATGCCAAGTTATTTCGAGCCCACAGGAACACTGCTTCCATAGATTTAGACTTTGATGAATATTTACATATTTATTAAAGAAAACATTCCAAATGTTTAATTCAGTAACTTATGCATTACTAAACGCACATGAGTCACGGGCTTTTACCGGTAATGAGATTATGACTGCTTCCCAGGGAAATGGTTTATTCTCCAGTCCTGGGGGAGGATGACGGAGGGGGGATGCCTGGAGGGAAACCCAGGGTAGGGAAAGCAGCATTGAGTGAGCACCTACTGTGTGCCAGGTGCTTTCCTGGATATCAGCCCACTGCTGCTTCAACCTTTTTTATTTTAATGTGTTGTTTAATAAGAAATATATTTTTAAACTGCCACTCATTGCTTGCGTGTGTGCGTGCACACACACCACCTTCTCACATCTGTAACTGAAACAAAAGTTTTACACAATTCCTTCTTACTAAGGGCAATTTATGCTGACATCTTATATAATGAAATAGGCAATTCTCTATTTTTAATTCCAGTTATGACTCTAAATGAACTTTAAGTCTGGGTGCAGTGGCTCAGACCTGTGAGTGCTTTGGGAAGCCAAGGCAAGAGAATCACTTGAGGCCAGGAATTCAAGCCAGCCTGGACAACATAGCAAGACTCCACTGCTACAAAAAAAAAATTAGGCCAGGTGCAGTGGCTAACACCTGTCATCCCAGCACTTTGGGAGGCCGAGGCAGAGGCTCACTTGAGCCCAAGAGTTTGAAACCAGCCTGGGCAACATAGTGAGGTCTTGTCTCTATAAAAAAACAAAAAAAAATTAGCCAGGCATGGTGGCAGACACCTGTAACCACAGCTGCTTAAGAAGCTAAGGTGGAAAGATTGCTTGAGTCCAGGGGGTCAAGACTACAGTGAACCATGATCACAGTCTGGGTGACAGAGTGAGAGCCCAACTCAAAAAAAAATAGCTGAGTTTGTTGGTGTGCACCTATAATCTCAGCTACTTGGGAGACTGAGGCAAGAGGATCATTTGAGTCCAGGAGCTCAAGGTGTGGTAGGCTATGATTGTGCCACTGAACTCCAGCCCGGGTGACAGAACAAGACCCTGTCTCTAAAAAAGAAAGAAAGAAATGAACTTCAAGACCCTGACTCCCACGCAGTGATGTGAGATCTGGACTGAATTTGACTCAGCCAGCGGGGAGGGGATTAAGGGAACCAGCTTGGGACTCACATAACCCTTGGGCTCAAGTCCCAGTTCCCTTGCCCACAGGCTGTGTGACTTGAGCGAGGCACCCTTGAAGCGCCAATTTCTTCTGTATGAGGGGACAGTGGCAGTGCCTGTTTTGGGCACTGAGTGAGCAGTTAACACAGGGTTGGCACCTGGTCAACCTCTAAGTGAGTGCTCACCATGGAAATGGCAGCCTGAAGTGTCCCAGCTGTGAAGACTGACTCTGGAGGTCAAGGTCAAGGTCCACCCCTTACTTCCTGTGTGACCCTGGGTGAGTTACTTGAACTCTGCGTGCCTGCGGTGTTCCATGTGGGGCCGAGAACAGAACTCTCCCCATAGGATGGGTATGAGAGGTAAACTAATTAATCCAGTAAAGTATTTAGAGGTGAGTTTGGCACACAAGGAGCATTGGGTGAATGATGGTGCTCATTTCATGATTAAGCGATGAGCTCACTTAATCCTCATGCATCCTTGCAAGATAAGTGTTTTATCCCCATAGCCCTGGGGGACTCTGAGACTGGAGATCCCAACAGCCTGCGCAGTCTCATGGCTGACAAGTGGCGGAGTTGCAAGTCCACGTTGGTCTACCGAGTCCTCAGTGCAGGGGCTGAGACAGACTCAGAGCTCCAGGGTCACAGGGCGCCCAGATGACCCAGCCACTGCCCTACATGATGGGGTGGGAATTGGCAGGTCTATGCACTCTGGACCCATGAGTAGACACATTATCTAGAAATTGTCCGAGACTCCGCAGTGAGGACATTGAGTCAGGTTGTTGATGGAACACAAAACTACTCCCGTGATGTCCTCATGGGATGTTATCCTCGAAAATGTCACTTGCAGCTGTCGTTTTCCCATCCCATTGACTCACGTTGATGACTGGACACAGGGTACCCAGAAACACGGTGCAGGGCACTTGTGTTGGGAGCTCAGGTCTCATCCACCTCCCTGCTGTCCCACCCTGGCTGGAGCCTAAGACATGATCCAAAATGTGTCTTCCCCCGGAGAGCTGGGCCAGCCCTGCCCGCACCCCATGGTCAGGAGGTAGGGAGACAGGAGACGAAGGTCAAGGTGATATCATCGGGAGAAGGGAGATGGTTGCTGAATAAGCAAAACCAACCCGTGTCTGCCACGCTAGGCTCTTGGGACTGCTTTTGAGGCAGGGAAGGAGTCAGGTCTCCACCCAGGAGTGGGAACAGCACTAGCTTCATTCGGTGCTCAGTTATGCTGCTGCTTAGTCCTGTGACCTGGCTCACGCACATTTTATGTTTCTGGCCTCAGTTTCTCCATCTGTACAATGGGTTTGGGGGGAGGCTCTACTCTGATGTTTAAAGATGTTATCAAACTGCTGGGCTCAGGCGATCCTTCTGCCTCAGCAGCAAAAAATAAAAACAAAAGTAAAACAGAGATGCTATCGATTCCTTATACATTGCCCTTCATTGAGTACCTAGAGATGAAGCACACCCCAAAACTGTTTGGAACCCTTCGAGGAGAAGAGTGCTGAAATGTCATGCCTGGGATGAGCTTCTGTGGTGGAAGCTGCCCCAAGGCTGCCCCTGCCTGCACCGCTGTCTGAAGGCACCACTTCCGCAGAACATCGCTCTGACGGCTGAAACTGTCCTGTTGTCCCTTTCTCCCCTCCAGGCATCACCAAATCGGCGCCCCTGAGAGCGAGCCAGCTTTGCACAGCGAGGTGAGTGTCTGCCCCATCTTTCACTCTCTTCTCCCCATTTCTTCCTTCTCCAAGGCTGGAGGCTGGTGAGCCTCCCCAGGAAGGAATCCCAGCACCAGCACTGCCCACTGAGCAACCCTAAGAGACCCTGCCTCCCTGAGCCTCAGTCTTCCTACCTGGGAAAGGGGAGGGCCCTGCGGCCTGCCCCAGGGAATGAGCAAAAACATTAAACACATGTGGGACCGGGTCTGAACAGTGTCCTGCGTGCTTGCTTCATTCTTTTCTTTCTTTCTGGTGCATAGACTCTTTCTCAATTCCTCCCTCCCTTCCCTCCTCCTCCTCCTCCTTGCCTTTCTCTCCTTCCCCCCCTTCTTTCCCTTTCTTTTGTTTCTGTTTCCCTTCTTTCTCTCCATACCTCTTTCTCCTGCTTTCTCTCCTCCCTCCCTCCCCCCTTTCTTTCTTCTCACTCCAACATGGGCACGTCACTCCTCAGTACCAAATCTCACACTGAGCCCTGGAGTCTCTGAGATGAATGAGACACAGCCCCTGCCCTTGAAGAGCTTCCAGTCCAGTGGGAGAGAGAAAGTCATATATCAGAGACCTCAGCCAGGTGCCACAGGCACGCACAGGGCAGTGGGAGCTGATGCTGGCCAGGCCTTACCCAGGGTCCCCTGGCGCTGGGTGCGGGGGGAGTTCCTGCCTGAGCCCTGCTGCATATGAAGCCCTGGGTTTGGCCTGGCGAGAGGCTGGCTGACTCTCAGTGCAGATGACCAGCGTTCTGTGTCTGGAAGTCTTCCTTCCCCACCAACATGGGACAAGCTGTTTATGAGGTGACAGTTCCTTAGCCTTAGCCTTTCTTTCCCTCTAGAAGATGTTTGGGGGCATATTCATAGAAATGGAGGACAGTTCCATCCACCTAGTGTTTGGTTAAGGCCTCAGGGCTAGAGAGCACCACCATCCTTTCTCTGGGTTTTAATTTCAGCCCCAGTTTCATTGAGTCTCCTGCACGGGTTTCGATGGCGCTCAGGGTTGACCATCTCGGATCGCACTCCTCTCAAGTAGGGTGTGAATCAGGGCATGTTCACACTCGGGTCTCTGCTCAGTGGGCTGTGACCTTCCCAGGCTCCCCGCAGAGCCGAGATAGTAATGGGTAAAACACCTTCCTCCGGGAGCAGGTCTCGCATCTCCAACTCAAATGAGTTTCTTATCCATTTTGAAATATGTCCCCCAAAAGAACCCCTTATCATAGTAGTTGTCAAAAAGAAAGGACACAAAGACATCTGTTTATAGTTCCATTACCTTTCATATTCGTTCCACCCTTGCCGTGACACCTCACATGTAAGGGGAGCTCAGGAACCAAGCAGGTGGCAACTAAAGTGATGTCATGTACCCAGAATGTACTTGGATACAGATTGAGTTTCCTGGATATTTCCCTGCCCATGTATGCTGGTTACAGTAGTTAGATATGGACATCAGGGTGCCCCAGCTGTGTTGTCTGGTAAAGCCGACAGGGTAGAGGGTTGAGGTATGGCCACTGCCACCAGGGTTCAAATGATCTGTCAGCTGTGTGCTTTCGGCATGCTATTTAGTCTCTGTCTGTCTCTATTTTCTTATCTGTACAATGGGGACAGGAAGAGTTAACTCCCTCCAAGGGCTGCCGCGGCTGTTTCAAGGTATAGATGAATCCTCATTAAGCGATTAGGACAGTAGCTGGCATGTCAGAAGCACAAGAATTGTTAACAAGCTTTATCGCTTCAGTGACGTGGGCCTAGTAGGAACTGTTACACACAGAGTGTGACCCTCAGCCTAAGGAGGTGGCTGACACTCGAATCCAACTCACGGCGCCACACAGGTGTGCAGACCCAGGTTCACCAAAGCACCTGCTTTTCAGGAGAAGGGAGAAATTGCAAGGGCTGGGTAGAGAGGAGAGATAGGGAGAGGAAGGGAGTGGAGGGCAGGGCGAGGGAGGGAGAGAAAGAGTCGGGAGGAAGAGAGGGAGAGGAAGGGAGAGGGAAGGAGGGGGAGAGAGGGACAAGATGGAGGGGAGAGAGGAAAGAGAGCGAGGGAGGGAGAGGGATGGTGGGGGGAGACAGGAAGAGAGACAGAGAGAGATGGAGAGGGAGAAGGAGAGGGAGGGAGAGGAGAGAGAGAAGCAGAAAGAGAGGGAGAAGGGAGGAGGGAGGGGAGAGAGAAGGGGGAGAGGAGAGAGGGAGGGAGAGG